AAACTATCCCAAACTTGGCCTCTGGGAGCCCCTGCAAGCTGGTCTCTATGTCCTTTTGTCTCAGGCTCATCATTCTTTGATTGCTTCCTTGTTTGTACTGCAACAGATTGATCCCAGTTTCACCTTCTACTTTCTCTTCCTCAGATCTGTAATTGGCTATTCCTCTAAAGAACTCTGAATAATATTCAGAAACCAAAATCTGGGAACTAGGAGTAGGAATGTTTATTGCTTCCTCAAGTGTCATGAGTTTATATTGATAGTTCATGTTCAGATTTCACATTTTAATTTTTCTTAGTTCATGTTAGTATCTTAGCCTGTAAACCTCCACTCATTAATGAAAACAGAATCATTTAAAATTTTGAATATTTTCAAGCCCACAGAAAAGTTGGGGGAAGAAAAATACAGTGAGCCCCACATATATTTTTCACTTACATTTACCCTGTTAATGTTTTACCATAATCATTCTATCTTTGTACACACACACACATACACATGCACACATACATATGCACTTTTTTTTTTTAATCCTCACCCGAGAATATTTTTCCATTGATTTTTTGGCAGAGTGGAAGAGAGAGGGAAAGACAGAGAGAAACACATCAATTGGTTGCCTACTGCATGAGCCCCAATCAGGGCCTGGGCTGGGGAGGAGCCTGCAACCAAGGTACGTGCCCTTGACCAGAATCGAACCTGGGACCTTTTGGTTCACAGGCCAACACTCTGTCCACTGAGCCAAATTGCTTAGGACCATATGCACTTCCTTTTTGCTCATACATGCAGATCCAGGGAAAATCCCAGAGACTGAAAAATCTACCTCTGTAAGCAGAGGGCTGAGGAAGACCGAAGAAAGAAGTAGGTCGCTCTAGTCCATCAATTAACAGAGTTTATTAAAGGAAACATAGGCTCATCTTGTGCTGTGGCAAGAGGAAGTAGATAATCTCCGTGATGCTTGGCAGGCACTAAAGAATTATGTAGAGCAGGGCAGGATGGATGAGGGACTGGACTGGTCCCAGGTAGTAAGGGAAAATGCCTTTCATGCTTGTCCGGGCAGGGCAGTGGCCTGTTCCAGGAGCCAGCACAGCATGGAAATGGAGTCATATCTCTGAGGGGATTTATGGGAAGCAATCTCCCTTCTGGATTTACAGCAACAATCTCTGTTCTAGCCAGGGTCTAATATAATACAACTCAAGGGTCCAGTAGTGGTCATGCCAGGAAACAGTCTCTCCTCCATACCTCCTGAAACCATATGAGAGTAAGCTGCAGATATTATTTTACTTCTCTTCTGAATATGTCAGCATACATCTCTTAACATGAGCATCATTACCACCCTTCAAAAGTCATTAATTCAATAACATCACGTAATATGCAGTCTATACACAAATTTCTCTAACTATCTCAAAATATCTTAGTTACTTTTCCCTTGCCTGTCTTTAAGGATCTAATCAAGGTTCATAGTGTATGTTTGGGTATTGTGTCTTTGTGGTCTCTCCCAATTTAGTCCATTTCAATGGTCTAGATCAGAGGTGGGCAAACTTTTTGACTCGAGGGCCACAATGGGTTCTTAAACTGGACCGGAGGGCTGGAACAAAAGCATGGATGGAGTGTTTGTGTGAACTAATATAAATTCAAAGTAAACATCATTACATAAAAGGGTACGGTCTTTTTTTTTTTTTAGTTTTATTCATTTCAAACGGGCCTGATACGGCCCGCGGGCCGTAGTTTGCCCACGGCTGGTCTAGATTCTTTTCTTATGACAGTAGGTCTTTGGAAGTCTGGACCAGTTGTCTTGTAGAACATCTCTATATTTGGAGTTCATCTGTTTTGCCCTGTGATTAGGTTTAGCAGGAACCTCCCAAAGGTAATGTAGTCTTTCCACTCTGATGCCAGCTTGACCAGGTTATAATAATCTTATTAAGGTTATAATAATCTCCAATATAAAGACACATAATTGTGTATGTGTTCCCCCACGTCCCGCGTAGTTCAGGGTTCAGGATCTGGAAGAGGAGCCGCACACAAATGAAAGAGAAGAGACAAGAGATAATTTGGAAATATTGGGGGGCCAGGCGGGCAAGTCCAACTCAAGGGGAAGGACTTCCACCGGTGCCCAGGCCTCGCCAGCCTTTTATTCAACTTTGGTTACACATAAAGCCCTTAGGCAGGCAGGCAATTGCAGTAGCAGACAGACTATCTTAAAGGTCAGTAAATATTAGAAGGATTTACTCTGAGACTATTTGATCAGGAAATAGCTTGAGTCCCCATTGTTAGGACTAGACAATCGGTGCATAACTCAGGCCCTTGCCATGGGTTCAAGGTTCACCAGCGATCCGGGATCCTTGTTTGCACTTCTCTGCTAGTGAAGACAATGGGCGACCTCCTGCACATAATACCTTTGTAATTAATAAGTCATCTGTAGAGTGATTCTATGAGACAGTGTGAGTATCCTGTTCCCCAGTAGTTTGTAATCCAGTAGATTAGGATACACTGATGTTCCTTTCCTAAATCAGTAATTACAGGGGTAGTTACAAATCGGATTTTCTAATTTTGTCATTCTGTCCGTATTTGTTAGCTTTTTTGTTGTTGCTGTTAATCCTCACCGGAGGACATTTCCTTTGATTTTTTTTAAGAGAGAGTTGAAGGGAGAGGGAGAGACAGAGAGAAACATTAATGTGAGAGAGACACATCGATTGGCCTCCTCCTGCACATGCCCTGAGGAAGGCTGGGATCAAACCTACATCTGAGATACATGCCCTGGAACCTGGGACCCTTCAGTCTGAGGGCCAACACTCTATCCACTGAGCCAAACTAGCTAGGGCAGTCAGCATCTATACTAATAAAAGCATAATATGCTAATTAGACTGGACGTCCTTCTGGACATCCTTCCGGATGACCTCTGGACAAAGCCAGGGCTGCGAGGGAAGCCTGGGTCCCGGGTGCCTGCTGGTGGCTGGAGGGAAGTCTGGGTCCCGGTGCCTGCCAGCGGCCGGAGGGAAGCCAGTGCCGGCAGGTGGGGGAAGGGAGGCCTACTCTTGCACGAATTTCGTGCATTGGGCTTCTAGTTCTTATATAAAGAAGGACTCTTCCCCTACTCTACCCTTTTACATATCTCTTTTTTAGTTTAGTTTTTTTTTAAAAAACTTAGTTTTTATGGTCTGTTACCATTTTTATTCTTTTAATACCCAAATTGTCCCAAATTAGGCCAGTGGGAATTTCTTCAAGTTGGCTTCCATGTCTTTTGAAATGACCTAGTTAGTCTCTGGGCACTTCTTTGCATTCTGTCAATAAGAAGTTGCAGCCACACTTCATATTTTTTCTATTTCTGACCTAGAATTAACCATTTTCCCAAGGAGCTCTAGTTCTTTTTATTGGTACATGGTATTTAGAAACCAAAATCTAGGTGCTGGAAATGCTCATTGTTACTGAGGGTCATTGCTTCTATGATTTTTCAGTGGAAAAATGTAGTACATATACTTAAAGAATCTTGAGTTCATATTGATAGTTCACATTCAAATTTAACTACATTGTTTCTTTCTTTTTGTTTTTTTGTTTTGTTTCACTGGTGGTCTGTGAGGTCTGAAAGGTTGGCGACTGCTGGTTTAAAGTATTACATATGTCTCCTTTTTCCCCCATCGACCCCCCTGTGGCCACTCCAACCCCCCAGGACAAGCCCCCACCTCCCCAGGGTTCTTGTCCATTGTTTATGCTAATATGCATGTATACAAGTCCTTTGGTTGCTCTCTCTCCCCCCCTCCCTTCCCTCTGCCATCCCTCTGAGGTTTGACGGTCCATTCTGTGTTTCTCTGTCTCTGGATCTATTTTTGTTCATCAATTTATGTTGTTCGTTATATTCCACAAATGAGTGAGATCATGTTATATTTATCTCCCTGACTGGCTTATTTCATTTAGCATTTCATATTTGTATCTCTTCTCTTAAACTGAAGATTTTCACTAATTTTCAGTTTATTAAAATTAGCACACATTTATTGAGTTCATATACAGGGTGTGGCAAAAGTAGGTTTATAGTTCATATGGAAAATAATACAATAATAAATAATAAAAGAATAAATCTGAGTTTAGTGTACTCACAACTGTAAACCTACTTTTGCCTAATCCTTGGTATGTGTGGTATTGAAATGTAGGGAAACACATTGAGTTAAATACAATTTTACAGTCTCTGGCCTCAGTAATTTGGTTTAATAGGTAGGAAAGACAAATATATAATGAAAAGAGGAATTATAATATATTGTGATATAGATCGTTAATATAGGAACTTTGAGATTTATTATGACCAAGGGATGGGAACATCTTCACATGTCTTGGAAGATTGGGGAATAAGGATATTTCTGATAGAAAAGTAGATCAACAGATCAGCAGGAGAATAAGTTAGAAGGAAATTAAGTCTATTTATGTCTAATTATAATACTTATTATTTTCTTTATATAACTTTTTCCTTCTTCTAGTACTTAGTACTTGTGACATCCTCTCCTGCCAAATCTGGAATGCCTTTCCTCACCTTCATCATATAGCTGCCTTAAGGTCCCTGAAAACCTTATTTGTGGTTATTAAGTCTTTTTCCCCCCATAACCAACTTAGTTATGAGAGTAATCACTATTGTTAGCATTCCTTATTGTAGCTTCCACAGTGTCTCACTCCTTATATAAATTATTGCTTCTGTTTTGCCAATGACTTAGATATCAAGTATGCAGTCTGTTAGGTTTTAATGTAAGGTAAGAGTAAGTGAACCTGGTGTAAGGGCCCCGTGGTCTTTCAGTAGGTTGAATGTCTGGGTTATGGTGTGTGTGTTTTGAGCATGTGGAACTCTGTTTAAGCATTTTGTTCTGTTTTTTCTCTTAGCTGAATTGAGTTCTGTATTTATCAAAAGGTATATAATATGCCAAATGAATATTAATTGGAGTTACTCTCCATTTAAAACTAGAATATCTCTTGGATCTTTGATCTTGTCTTAGAATCAATCTTGTCTTAAGAATATCTTTTGTTTTCAGAGCTTCAGTGAAGATGTTTTCCAGTCGGTAAAGTCTTTGTTACGGAGTGAGAAGGAACTGTGTAGTGTATCAGCAGAGGACTGTTTAAAGCAAGATGAACATGCCAGTTTGACTGAGGTTTGACATATTACTCTCTATACCAGTGGTTCTCAACCTTCCTAATGCCACGACCCTTTAATACAGTTCCTCATGTTGTGACCCCCAACCATAAAATTATTTTCATTGCTACTTCATAACTGTAACTTTGCTACTGTTATATCGTAATGTAAATACCTGATATGCAGGATATATTTTCATTGTTACAAATTGAACATAATTAAAGCATAGTGATTAATCACAAAAACAATATGTAATTATTTGTGTTTTCTGATGGTCTTAGGCGACCCCTGTGAAAGTGTCGTTTGACCCCCAAAGAGGTCGTGACCCACAGGTTGAGAACCGCTGCTCTATATCCTTTCCTAATAAAGCAAAATGTATGTTCATGCATTTCTGTAGAACTGCGTTCCTACTTTTAAAATGCCTAAAATGTTTACATGTTAATACATGTATGAGAAGTACCTGTTTTAAATACCCACTAATATAATTGTCGTTTAATTCAGTGCACAGGCATTATTGCCCACTCATCAGACAGATGGTGCTGTATCAGATGATTCCTACTCGATTCAGTAATTGGTACTTTAATACTGAAATTTTCTACTGTGAAACATGAAATATATCTTTATTTTTTTGTAATTGTTTTTTTGGTTATTGTTAGTTTTCTTGGTTGTTTAAATTCAGTACCTTGAGTCAAAATGAAAAAGTAGTGCTAAATTTATTTTGAAATTAAGATATTTACTACTTGCCGGAACCGGTTTGGCTCGGTGGATAGAGCATCGGCCTGCGGATTGAAGGGTCCCAGGTTCGATTCCGGTCAAGAGCATGTACCTGGGTTGCGGGCACATCCCCAGTGGGGGATGTGCAGGAGGCAGCTGATCGATGTTTCTCTCTCATCGATGTTTCTAACTCTATCCCTCTCCCTTCCTCTCTGTGAAAAATCAATAAAATATATTTAAAAAAAAAGATATTTACTACTTGAAGATAAGATATATCATTTGCTCACCTGTTTCACTGCTACATTAATGTTTCCTATCTTTGTTTGAATTTATTACTAATAAAAAGGAATGACAGCCCTAGCCGGTTTGGCTCAGTGGATAGAGCGTCGGCCTGCGGACTGAAGGGTCCTGGGTTTGATTCCGACCAAGGGCACATGCCTGGGTTGCAGGCTTGATCCCCTGTAGGGGGTGTGCATCTCATCATTAATGTTTCTATCTCTCTCTCCCTTTCCCTTCCTCTCTGAAATCAATAAAAATATATTACAAAAACAAAAAGCTTTAAAAAAGGAATAAATTTTATTCTTCAATATAATCATAGTCCATTAACACATTTATGATATCAAATGAGAGAGGGTATGAACTCATTGAATCTGAAAAATAAGATCTGAGTTGTTAGGTTGTTAATACAAATATTTTTGAAATTAGTGTTCTAATAGAAACTTGATTATTCTTATGTTTGGGAATGATTTTCTTTCCTATTTCTTGAGAAACTATATTGAAGTAGTTCCATAGAATGATGAGCACACCTTTCAGGCCTATAGTGTTCTCTGACCAGAGCCTCTTCTTTTTGTATCAGCTCAATTTCTATGGCTCTTGACTATTATCTTATTTTCCCTTTTTACTTTATTTTCATCAAGCTGAGCCGCTCTTAATCTCCTTGGTTGTTGCTATGTGACAAGTCTCCTGTGTCCTTCTGCCCTCAAACAATTTTCCAGCCTGTATCTCTCCAGCTCCTTATGTAGTGCCTTTCCGAGCCCACATTCCTTGGCAAGGTCTTCTTCGATCAATGGGATATGCAAGACTCAAGTGGCATTTTTAAAACCCCATGTCAGCTTATTTTCTCTTTTGTATTCAGTAAGAGGAAATTTGAAAGAATAGAAGGAATTTCTTTCTCACTTTAGAGTGTACATATCCCAAAGTATCTTTTCGAAGAAAGGAAAGGAATTTAATTGAATGTCTCTTTGTTATTGGGTGCCTGTAATATACTAGGCACTTTCCTCTACATTATCTGATTAACCCTCACAACTGTGGAGGAGAAGTTGTATTGCCTTAAGTTTTATAGATGCGGAGACAAGCTACTATAGGTTAACAACCTACCTAGACCTGTAGAAATTAACTATAACAATTCTGTGAAGTAACAACCCTAATAAGTCAGAATAAACATCCTGAGCTAATTTCTGACTTGCTTCTGAATCGTCAGAAAGAGATCAAAAGTATATCGTGTTGCTTTGTATTTTAACCATGATATTTTCCCTTAATTCCTAGATTATCCATATTGCTATTATTTAAGTATTTCATACTTTTAGTCACAGTGCTTGCTTAGCAGACAGTTTACTATTCTATCTTCAAATGGAAAATATTTCTTCTAATGATGTCAAAGACAAAGGAAATATAAACTTTATTTTTATTATTTTTAATTCTCACCCAAGGATATTTTTCCGTTGGTTTTTAAAGAGTGGAAGAGAGAGGGAAAGACAGAGAGAAACACCAATGTGAATGAAACATCTTGATAGGTTGCCTCCTGCGTGAGCCCCGACCAAGGCCAGGGCCGGGGAGGAGCCTGCAACCGAGGTACATACCCTTGACTGGAATCGAACCTGGAACCCTTCGGTCCGCAGGCCAATGCTCTATCCACTAAGCCAAACTGGCTAGGGCTGAGAATATAAACTTTTAAAATAATACTTTTTTTCAGATTATAAAAGCAGTACATATTTCCTTATAGAAAGCATGAAAGAAAAAAATGACTATCATTAATCTTATGAAGGAGGGAAAAAAACCCACAGTGATAAAAGTAGAAAAAAACCTGGCTGGTGTGGCTCATTGGTTGAGTTTTGGCCTATGAACCGGGAGGTCATAGGTTCGATTCCCGGTCAGGGCACATGCCTGGGTTGTGGGCTTGATCTCCATTGTGGAGCTTTCAGGAGGCAGCCAATCAATAATTCTCTCTCATCATTGATGTTTCTGTCCCTCTCGCTCTCCCTTCTTTTCTAAAATCAATAAAAAAAGAGAAAAAATGATCACTTATAATTCCATTGTCTTGAGTTAATCACTGTTGTAGTTTGATGTACTGCTTTCCAGTGTTTTTCCCATGCGTATGTTTTAAAAAATATTGTTGAAATTGTAGGCATACTCTTTATCATTTTTGTGTAACTTGTCTTTTTTATTTAATGTGACATGTCCTCATATCATTTCATATTCTTTAGAGATTTAACTTATATAAACTTCTACAGAGAAATCTCTATATAAGGGCATTGATGGAAATAAGTGATGATATCACAGGGAGTCAATAAGGAGGTAACCTTGAGGGCCTCCTCTCCGAGGAGATAACATTTAAGTTGGATCTTGAAGGATGAGGTAGAACTAGGCATGGGAACATCCAAGGAGAGATCCAGGTTGAGGGGGCGCTATTGTGAAGCCCTTAGGCAAGTACATACTGGGCATATTCTAGGCCCTGAAGTGAGCCAATGTGTATAAATGAAAGTGAGGGAAGACTGAAGCCAGCTAACCCAGAGCCTTGGGGCCTGTTAGAACTGCACTGGGAAGCATGGTTTTTGAAAGGCAGGTGACATGATAATTACTGGGATCATGTGGAATAGGATTGTAGTAGTGCAGATGAGAAGTGGTGGTAGCGGGAATGGAGAGAAGTAGATGTATGTGAGATATGTTTTGGGAGTAGAATTGATCGAACTTGCTAATGAAGTTGAAGAACTGCACTATAAAGCCAAATCTTTGGTGGAAAGCCTCGTCATCATCTTTGAAAAAATTAATCATTCTGTCCAAGATAGTCAGCATTTTTATTTATTTATTTTGAGGTCTAATTGACATAAAACATCATATTAGCTTCAGATATACAACATAATGATTTGATATTTATATATGACAGTATTTTAATTCTTTATGCGTTTTTTTCTGTTTCTCAGCTGTCAGTAATCTAATTGAGATAAAATGTTAACGTTTGAACTAATAGAGCTTTATTTATTTATTTTTATTCAGGTCACATTTCTAGGTTTTAATGAAGAAACAGATGCTGCTCATATACAGGTATGGATGATTTATTAAACTGGGAAGGACCAGGAGAGATTATTTGGAACAAATTTTGGGACACGTAAAATTTGCCTTATTAACCAAAAACTTAAACACTAAAACTTTTCTGTTATCATTTCTGTTTAAAGTTAAAAGGTGACATTTTGAGATCAACTTTTGAGTGTGCTTTGGACATTTTCACTTTTTGCATTTTCACTGAGTATTCTTGGTATAGAAAGCATTTTTAGGTTAGGAAACCACAAAAGTCAATTATCTTAAGGAAGCTGAAACTGTAGGCTGAACTTTTTCTCCTGAGGTAGAATGTAAGCCTTGTTTTTAATTTGGATGGTTTTTATAATCTGACCTCAACAGTCAGATTCTTATATTTTCAAATGAGATAGAATGAAATTTAAATGGTAAAATAAATGAGATAGAATTAAATTTAAAAGGTAAAATTTATAAAAAGTAATATTAGCCAATGCAAAACTTTTAGCCTGTTTGATTTACACAGGAATTTAAGAGGGACTGACAGTTGAGATTAGGATCAGCAAAGGAAAGCTATACAGTTACATAAAGGGTGGTTGACGCTCCAGTAGGTGTGGTAGGCATACTGTGTTTTACCTCATGCAGTATCTTAAGGTTTGTGATTGCCATATGTTTCCTTTTGTGGCAGTAAAAGTCTCCCAATAGAAGAAGAAGTAATACTATTCAATTCTTTGTGAACAATGCATAGAAAGTGATAATGAAAACTCTTGTGTGTCTTGATTGTACCCTTACCTGAAGGAAAAAGTTTAGGCAGTAGGTGCAAGAGAGGACATACTCCTGAGAATGTGAGGCTGAAAGCAGAAGTGTTCCAAAGTATTTCTCTCTTGTTCTACTTCCTCTTTAAGAGTTACTGGTAAAACTGTAATTAGAAAGGAAAGTACTCTGAGAGGTCAAGGATGTTAAAATACCTTAACTGGGTAAAATTTATATAAATAAAAGCCTAAGCAACCTTTATGACCAGTCGACCGGATGACCGGCTGGTAGCTGTGACGTGCACTGACCACCAGGGGGGCAGACGCTCAACGCAGGAGCTGCCCCCTGGTGATCAGTGCACTCCCATAGCCAACCTCCCACTGCTGGCCAACCTCCCACGGTGCCCTCCCCCCGCCCGCCAGCTGTCTGGCTCTGATTGGGACTGTGATTGCTGGCCAGGCCTAGGGACCCCACCCATGCACAAATTCATGCACCGGGCCTCTAGTATTTACATAAAAAGGACAAATGAGAGAAAAAAGCTTTTTTCTTTACATCTTTATTAAATTATCAAAGTTTAATATAATACTTCAGAGAGAAAAAGCAGAAAAATAGACTTGTATTTTATGAATATAAAACTTAAACTCCAGTGAAGTATAATCTGTAGGCAAGAATCCTGTATGAAAAATTTCACAGTTAAACCTGAGGAATGCAGGTTGACATTTGCCTCTAAAAACTATTAACCCTCATGGATGTGTGAGGTACCATGTAAAATTTTTTTTGCTTCATATTAATACATTTAAAAGGGTACAGAAATGGCAGGTATTTTAGTACACTTCATTTTTGAGTTTTAAAATATTTTAGTACACTTCATTTTTGAGTTTTAAAAAAATTGGTTGTGGTTGATAAGCATATGTTAACTATTATGAACTGGGAAATTTATTAACCAGTAGACATTAAGATTTTTAGATAGGACCCTCATTATAGGAATCTTAACAAAGTTTTATTGCTTTAAATTAGGATTTAGCTGCTGTTTCTTTGGAACTTCCAGATCTTCTGAATTCACTACACTTCTGTAGTCTAAATGAAAATGAAATTATTTGTATGAAGGATATAAATAAATCACCAAATATAAACAGTGGTCCTCTAAATCAGGTAACTTTTATATATAATTTCTAATGAGTTTTTAAGGGCAGATTTTACAATGACATTTGATTAAGACTATTAAATTTTTAAATGCTTCGGTGAAGTTTTTTGTTTTTTTTAAAAAAGAAACCATATTTGAGGAAGTATGATTCATGAGAAATCTAACTCATGAAGCTTTGAAATCATGCTGAACGCTACAGGAAAATGGAATACAAAAATAGAATAGTACCTGGCTCCTGCCTTCAAGCAGTTTGCAGGGTAGTTGGTAAGTTAGGTGAATGATTAAATAAGAAAAATCACAGGGCTGTACAATAGTACAGGAAAACATTATTGCTAAATGAATGGATAGTAAGTTCTATAACATTTAAGAAGATAATGTAGGTAGAATTTCAATACCTGGTTAAGAGAAAGCTGGGAGAAAAAGATTGGGGAGTGAGAAATGTGGAGAAAGAATAAAGAAAAGAATTAAGCATTACAAAATCAGGCTGCATTTCAGGATGCATGTATTTTTCTTTTTTATTTTCCCCCATGAGATTATGTTATTTCTAGGCTTCACTGCCAGTTAATATGTTTTGTATGTATAATATGTTTTTATATTAAAATATTTTTATCATCTTTCCCAAGAGTCGTCATTCTGGAATGCTTTGTGTCATGAGAGTGTTACCACCTACATTACCAAGACTCAGAATTGATTTTATCTTTAGTCTCCTAAGTAAATATGCTACTGGTATAAGATACACCCTGGATACATACTTTCATCAGAAACGCCAACTGGAGACCACTAATGAAGATGATGATGATACTAACCAGTCAGTGTCTTCTATAGAGGATGATTTTGTCACTGCGTTTGAGCACTTAGAGGAAGAAGAGACCTTAAAGCCATATAATGATGGTTTGTCTTTATTAAACTTCTTGGTATAGAGCAGCGGTTCTCAACCTGTGGGTCGAGACCTCTTTGGGGGTCGAATGACCCTTTCACAGGGGTCGCCTAAGACCATCAGAAAACACATATATAATTACATATTGTTTTTGTGATTAATCACTATGCTTTAATTATGTTCAATTTGTAACAATGAAATTGGGGGTCACCACAACATGAGGAACTGTATTAAAGGGTCGCGGCATTAGGAAGGTTGAGAACCACTGAAGAGGATTAAAGTTTAAAGTTCAGTTTTAAAGGCTTTAAGGCCAAGTTACTCAATTCTTTTTAACCTTTTTTCTGATTGTCTGAGGAATTACTTTTGAGATTTTTTAAGTTCATAGCTATCTGGTTTTTATTTTTATTGATTTCAGAGAGAAAGGGAGAGGGGGAGAGATAGAAACATCAATGATGAGAGAGAATCATTGATTGGCTGCCTCCTGAATGCCCACACTGGGGCTCGAGCCCTCAAACCCGGCATGTGTGCTGACCGGGAATCGAACCGTGACCTCCTGGTTCATAGGTCAATGCTAAACCACTGAGCCACCCTGGCTGGGCCATTGTTATCTGGTTAGTTTTGCTATTTCTGTTCTTATTTTGTTAGTACTGTTTACCATATTAAGTGTTTGGAACATGCCTAGGGTCAAACTTGAGAGGAGTTAACTGGCAGAGTCACTGTATTCGTGTTTCTAACACATGTGACAGCATTCTATGTATTCTCAAGTATGGGGTAAAATTAAATTATTTTAGTAAAAGATATATTTGATTTTGAGAATGATTTGGGATGAATATGTTAACATAATTTAGAAGAGACATGTTACAAATAAATATTTTATGCTGAAAGTCTATTCCCATTGATTTAAATTTTAAAAAAATTCTGTTCAAGAATAAGCTGATCATTTTATTCTTTTCCTATAGGAGTAAACATTACTGCACTAAAGAGCCACTGTGATGCTGCTTCACAGACTACTGCTGGTCACCAGTTAGAAACCCATGATTTAAGGATTCTGGTTAGCTCTGGGCGGCAGAAGTCATTGACGAAACCTTCAACTTCCTTAATAAATGTTCTGGGACATAAAGAACAACCTGTGAAAAGTTCAGTCACAACATCAATTTCTGAGCCTTGGATCCAAAGGAGTTTCTATAGGTCATCTAATGCTTCAGATAAAGGTAGTGACATGCAGAAAACGTTTTTTTCTTCTTCTCCTGCCTATTCATCTGAATCAGAATGCTCAAGTCCAAGTCCGGTTATTTTCTTAGATGAAGAAGGATATCAAAAAAGTTTAAAAGCAAAACTTGAGTTACCAAAAATTCCTGTAATGAAAGATGATATAGAGGACTCAGACTCAGAAGTAAGTGAATTTTTTGATAGTTTTGATCAGTTTGATGAACTAGAACAAACTTTAGAGACTTCTTGTCCATTTCTAAAAGATTCTGTAAAAGGGAAGACATCGCAAAAGAAAGGGCACAAACATGACAAATCTTCTGTAACCACTACTATGAATCCTCAAAAATTCAAGTTTGATTGTCCAGCTCTCCCAGCTAATGTTCGAAAGCCAACACCTCGTAAACCAGAATCCCCTTACAGCAACCTGTGTGATGCTCCAGATTCTCCTCGCCCAGTGAAGGCATCTGGGGAAGACAGTGGCTTGTTTAGCCCCATTCGGTCCTCTGCTTTTAGTCCTCTTGGAAGCTGTACACCTGCTGAATGTTTTTGCCAAACAGATATTGGTGGAGATAGGATTCATGAAGATCATGATTCTATTTATTACACCTATGAAGATTATGCCAATAGAATTACATGTGAAGTACTGGGCTCGGTCCTTCATACTCAACATACTAATGCAATATCAAACATTAATAGTGTTAAAAAGGGAGAAAATGAAACCATTGCTCTAAAGAGTGGAAACCTTGATCAAAATAAATCTAAAAATAAACCCTTAATGATTAGAGATAGCATTCAAAAATTTGCAGCAGATCTTGTGGAAAAAAGTTTTGGCAGTGCATTTAAAGACTTGCAGAAAGGAGTCTCTTCATGTACCAATGCATTGTGCCATTTAGCCGTCAAATTAACGTCATCCATTTTTCAGATGGCATTTAATGAACTGAGAAGGCAGCATGCATTTTCACTGAAAGAGCGTGCTATTAGTGGTCTGGCTAATTTTTTGGTGAGTGAAGCTTTCTCAAATGCTTTAAAAGATTTACAGTATGTAAAGAAGCAGATATTTACAAACATAGTTGCTGGGTTTGCTGCAGATCTTGCTGAAGAGCTTATTTTTGAAGGTATCATGGAAGTGTGTCAGTTTTCATCTCCTCCAACACCTTCATCTCCAAAGTATTCATTTGACTATGAAGACAAAGTAGTGAAGTCATATGCAAAAGATTTGTCTGAATCTGTAATGCAGGAAGCATTCATTGAGCTATCACAAGTTGATGTGATCTTTACAACAAAGGCAGCAGTTAGTGTTTCTACAGATAACATAAAGTATGTGAGTGCAGAAAATATTGTGCCATGGACACAGACTTCCACATGTCCCATTTTTAATAGTCAAGCAATTGTGACAAAACCAATGCCAGAATATAAATACACTGTACAGCAGGCCTTATTTTGTACTTCTGGAATTGTTACTTCTATACCAGTGCCCCTGGCTGGAAGTGCCCTTCTCCCATATCACTTTTCATCTAATATATATCAGGCAAAGACTCATCTGTCATCTGGTGATAGTAATTTGAATGGTGATTCTACTGAAGCAGGTGTTTCCACAAAAAACGAAGAGGAAGTAGCTTGTCTCAGAAATATTTGTTTATCTTCAGAACACAGTCTAGGTAACCAGAATGATTTTAAACCAACTAATGATGATGTTGAAATGCAAAGCTCTTCAAAATTACCAAGTGATCCTGTGATTATTAGCAACTTTTCTACAGCACTGGTGCATTCTATAGTAAATGAAACTTTAGAGTCAGTGACATCATTCAAAGTTACAAAAACAGTTGATGAACACACAGATTGTTTAACTAAAACAGTAAAGGGAAAAAACTTTCCTTTCCACTATGATCAAGTGACCCTGCAACAGAATGAAGCTAGCAATAAGGACATGTTTGTTGATCGATTATCTAAATCTGTTATTAAACATTCCGTAGAGAAAAGCAAATCACTGATCTCCAATGTGGATAAAAATATGGTAAACAGGGAAGGCTTGCCTGTTGCTGAAGAAGAGTCACGGTTGATATGGGAAAAGTTTCCCAGATCTCTTGATGCTCAAGATCACTTAACTCACTGTTCACTTTTAGTGGGAAAGGATTGTGTTCCAGAATGTAAAGATTCTGTAGCTCATGGATTTTCTTTAGAGCCACTACCATGTTGTTCAACTATGGCAGGTCAAAAACCTGATTTGAAGGAAGCTGCTAAGGACAAATCAGTGAAAAAGTATAATTTGAATAATATGGCACCGGTGCCCTTGTCTTTTGGGCAAGAAAATCCTTATCCCCATTCCCATACTTTCTCATCTGCAGTGCTTACATGTGTAGATGGTTTGCATGTGGAAGATAAACAGAAAATCAGAGATGGAAATGTAATACCTGATACTCCTCCATCAACTCCTCTAGTACCATCCCAGGCTAGTTCTGAATGGGATATCAAGAAGTTAACCAAAAAGCTTAAAGGGGAATTAGCAAAAGAATTTGCACCTGCTACACCACCTTCTACACCTCACTACTCATCTGTTGGTAGTTTGTCTGAAAATGAACAAAATACTATTGAAAAAGAGGAATTCATGTTGAAACTCATGCGATCTCTTTCAGAAGAAGTTGAAAGTAGTGAAGGTGAAGAGCATCCGGAAGTGGATGTGAAGGCAGAGCACTCAGAGAAGAAAACTCAATTTGCCGAAGCATTAGCTTCACACATCGTTTCTCTTGCAACTGAAATGGCAGCTTCCCATTTAGATAATAAAATAATTCAAGAACCCAAGATTAAAAGCCCTTGCTTAAATGTGCAGAGTCAAAGAAGTGTATCACCTACTTTGTTAAATCACACAGATGAAAATTTACAAGCATTATGCAATTTTGCAGGTGATATGGCAGCAGAAGTCATTACAGAAGCTGAGAAAATAGCAAAAGTTAGAAGTTGTATGCTTTGCAGGCAGAAGAAGAATAGTTATAGTGATGGTGACCAACCTAATAGATTAGAAGAAAAGTTGAATATAGAGACTGTATCACATCCAAGAGAAGTTGACCCGTTTATTCTTTCATTACCACCAAGTTCTTGTATGTCAAGTCTGTCATATAAGTATCCCAGCTGTGAAAGTGTGACAGATGAATATGCAGGTCACATTATCCAAATACTAAAACAGGAAGGTGGTAATAGTGAGTTAATAATGGATCAGTATGCCAATAGACTTGCTTATCGATCTATCAAATCAGGATTGAAAGAAGCAGCTAAGGGAGCAACAATGAAGTGTAACTCAAAAATGTTTCCCTTGCAAAACTCACAGGTGAAAGCCAACAATGAACTCTTAATGTTCTTAAATAAACACCACCAAGAAGTAGATAAAAAAAGACAAAGTAAAAGAAATGAAGGTTACCTCTGTAAAAATCAAACTTGTGAATGGACAGGGAATACATACAGAAGTAAATGCTCTGAACTGTATAGTTTTTCAACCTCTCTTGCTCACAGCATAACCAGAGATGTTAAAAAAGAGCTTACAGTGTCTGCACTTGGCTTGCCAAAATCCTCAACAGATTCTTGCCTTTATGAAAAGTCTGGATGTGATGAAGATAATGAGTCTCACATTGAGCCAGAATTTCCTAAGTCTCTTCAACCTTCCCCGCAAAATCACAGATTTTACCACAGTGCAGGCAGCTTAAATGGGTATGGATATGAAGTGAATGTTGTTCAAGCTATAGAACAGTATGCTAAAAAAGTAGCTGATGACACTTTAGAACTCAGTTTAGGATCTGCAGTTTTCCAAGTGTCTGAGACAGCAAAAGCAGCAGATAGGATCACTTATGCAGAAAAGTTGTCACCTCTTGTAAGTCAAGCTTGCAGATACTGTGATGAGAAAGAACTCCATGACTGCAATGGAAACTCACCTCAATATTCTTTCAGACAGGATTCACTTGCTCATAGTAAGCCAGGTTCTAATTCAAAATTTAGCAACATTTATCAGAAATCTAGAATTTTTCACCTTGATGTCCCTCAAATTCATGTTGATCTTGATAAGAAGACAGTGCTTGCTGAGAAGATAGTTGCTGAAGCTATTGAAAAAGCAGAGAGAGAGCTGAGCAATACCAGTTTGGCAGCTGATAGTGGAATTGGACAAGATGGTGTTAGCTTTGCTGAAAGCCTTACTACAGAAATAATGACCTCAGCCATCGTGAATGTTGAACATGCTGTTAGTAGGTAAGTTTCAAGTTTCTTTTGGGTCTATGATAAAATGAAAAGTTAAACTCCATCGTTCCTGGCCAGATGGCTCAGTTGGAAAGGTTGCGGGTTTGATTCCCAGTCAGGGCACCCAGTTTGCAGGTTCCATCCCTAGTCAGGGCAAGTATAGGAGATAACTGATCGGTGTTTCTCTCTCGCATCGATGTTTCTCTAAATTAAAAAAAAATAAAACCATATCCTCATGTGATGATTTAAAAAAAAGTTAAACTTGATCATATATGTCTTAGATTCTGTTCAGAAAGGTAGGATTATTTTTTAACCCTAAATTAACAAGTTTTCTCTGTTACATTGATGTATTGTTTCTTTTTCTTTTTTTTTTAAATAATTTTTATTTCTTAAAGTTGATGTATTGTTTCATATCCTACATATTACTTTCATATACATTCTTCATTATCCCACAACAGGCTTTTGAGGGAAGGTATTAACCATTTACCCAACTAAAATATGAAGTTATTATGGTTTAAAACTATAGTGTGATTGTAGGAATGCCCAATATAATTCTGATTAGTATATTTTAAATACAAAATGAGAATAGCCCCAAAGTGGGGGCAGTTCAGGACCTATTCTAGGCACTGGGGAACAAAAGTAAATAAAACAGGCAAAAATATGTGTTCACTTGGACTTCATGTTACAGTAAAGTAAGACAATAAGTAAAATGTGAAAAAAAATAAGTAAAATATGTAGTACATGGTAATAAGCGCTTCGGAGGAAAACTAAAGCAAGGGTTTAGTGTTTTTGGTGGTGGCAGTACGTGGCAGCATGTGGGGCTGGTTTGCAGTTTTGAACAGGTAGCAGGCAAAAATAACCCTGACAAGGTAACATTTGAGCAAAGAGCCAAAGGTGAAGAGAGAATAAGTCACATGAGAATCAGTGGAAAGAGGGTTCCAGGCAAAGGGTTGGGACTGTGCATGTGGAGGAAATGGCAAAGAGGCTTGAGTGGCTGAAGTGAGTGAGCCAAGGGGAGTAGTAGGAGATAAGGTGTAGGTTATGAGAGATTGTCATACCAGGTAATATGTTATAAGTATTTGGCTTATTTTGGCTGGTGAGAAGCCACTAGAGCAGTGGTTCTCAACCTTCTGGCCCTTTAAATACAGTTCCTCATGTTGTGACCCAACCATAAAATTATTTTCGTTGCTATTTCATAACTGTAATGTTGCTACTGTTATGAATTGTAATGTAAATATCTTATATGCAGGATGGTCTTAGGCGACCCCTGTGAAAGGGTCGTTTGACCCCCAAAGAGGTCGAGACCCACAGGTTAAGAACCGCTGCACTAGAGGGTTTTGATCAGAAGAATAACATTTTCCCTCTTCATGTTTAAAAATATACTTTCAACTGCTATGTTGAGAATTAAATGAGTTGGGCAGTTGCAATAATTGAACAGTGAATGGCCTTCCTAGTGAAAAGTTAGAATAAAATTTGAGAACATTTCTTTATTAAAAAAAATGAGTAGGGTTAGGTTTATAATACACACTTAACATCAAAGAGATTTGGCTAGTTTGACTCTAATTTTAATTTACAGTACTAGAATTACTTGAACTACTTTTTTGGTTTTTAAAGCCAAAATGAAGTTTGTTTTGTTTTGTTGTGCAAATAAAAGTACTATCTTACAAAGCAGTTGGAAAACTTAGGAACTTGTGCTCTTTCATAGTGGTCCCAGTTGAAAATATGAACTGCTTTGAAGAGAATTTAAGTGATGCACTTAGGATGGATGGGTGTTCATGGGTACTCAGTTAACTCTGAAAGTAATAAGCTACCCTGCTAAGTCTCTTTGTTAGCAGACACAATGAAAGGGGGTTAGGTGGACCACTGGTCTGACTCTGAATATCATTTCTTGTTTTTGTTATCTTTATCATTTATAAGAATTAAAGTCTTATCAGAGGCCCAGTGCACGAATTCATGCATGGGTGGGGTCAGGCCAGCCCAGCCCCAATCGGGATGGATCAGGAGGAGGAGACGGTGGGAGGTTGGCCGGCTGGCCCGCCCCGATAGGGACCCGATCAGGGCTGGGCTGGCTGGGGGGAGGGGCTGCAGGCGATTGGCCAGTGAGTCCCGCCCCCCAATTGGGGTCAGGGGGCCGATTGGGGGCAGGGGGTTGATCAGGGGTCAGCGGCTGGGGGAGGGGCCGTGGGAGATTGGTCGGCCAACCCCACCCCCTATTGGGGTAGGTGGGCAATCGGGCAGGACCGGCCAGGGGGAAGGGCTGCAGGCCGATCCGGGTGGTGGAGGCCCATGGGGGAGGGGCCGCAAGAGGTTGGCCACCTAGCCCCACCCCCTATTGGGCTGGCCGCAGTGGTCGTCATAATAGTGACCCCGCATTCTGGTCGTTCTGGCATTCTGGTTGCTAGCTTTTTATATATATAGATAGTTCAGAACCTGATGCTTTTGGCACTCATTCATTTATTCATTTATTTTAGTCCAAAAGAAACAGAAGACTTTCAGTCAACTGAGTCTTTTGGTAGCCAGCAGATGAATCTCAGTATTGGTGATGACAGCACTGGTAGTTGGTCCAATTTAAGTTTCGAAGATGAACACCAGGATGAAAGCAGCAGTTTTCATCATCTAAGTGAAAGGTAACTAAAACTTTACATGCAATAGCATAGTTTAGATCCTCAGACCTATGAAGTGAGCTATTAGTTTACATTGAGTATTATTTAAAATTCTGAATTTGAGAATCTGTCATTATTTTCAAAATGTATTTTATTATTTGCAATATATTTCTAATGGTTTTTTGACATTTATTAAATACTAAAGGCCCAGTGCACGAAATTCGTGCATGGGTAGGGTTCCTAGTGGCTGCCGGTTGGGGGCATCTCCCTTCCCCCGGCCGCTGGCCCCACCCCCTAGTCGAACTCCTGGTCAAGGGGACAATTTGCATATTAGGCTTTTATTATATAGGATAATAATTAGCCCAGCTAATTTTCTCTGGATGTGCCAATAGTTGATTTGAAAATGTTACATACATTTAATTTTATACCCTTTTAGGCTTTACCTGGACTTTTAATGAATTTTTGAGGAAAAACTTTTTTTTTCTTACTTTAAAGAGAGTACTTTTTTTTCTGTAGAGCAGCGATTTTCAACCTTTTTCATCTCATGGCACACATACAGTAATTACTAAAATTCTGTAGCACACCAAAAAACATATTTTTTGCCAATCTGACAAAAAAAAACAGGTATGCTTTTGATTCATTCACACCAGACAGGTACTGGTATTGTTGTGTGGCTGTTGTCAGTTTTTAATTTGACAATCTAAAGGAAAAGAGGTCAGTGCCCCTGACTAAATAGTCAGGTATTACATTTTTAAAAAAATTATTGTGGCATGCCAGTTAAAAATAGCTGTTTGAGGATAGGAAGAAGGACAGTTATCTGTAAGAGACATAAAAATGGCCTGTAATTTCACAGGGATTAGTTTAGATAGTATGTTTTTTGGGGGGAAAGGTTCCTTACTTGTCCTGCTACTCAGGAAAAAAATGATCCAGATCATTTATACTCGAATGACTGAAATACATAAACTCATTATAAATTGTTTGGTATAGCAGAGGCACCTACCTCATATATAACTTTTCTTAATTAACTTTATTTTGAATAAGTTATGGAATATTTTATTAATTGTGATACAGTTGTTTCTTATATGTATAACTCTATACAGGCATTTTCTAACCAATAAAATTCCATAAAATCTTTATCCAAATTAATTGACAATTGGAAATGATAAATACCATCTATAGCTGAGTCTAGGGAGTGGAGAGGATTCTCGGCATACATACTTCCAATTTTGGGCATATGTGGAAAGGACCCTGTGAGGCTCTAGGTGAACAGAGCCTTGGAATGGACTTATCAGGAGTGGGAGGTAAGCAGACTATTAGAGGAGGGGATGAGGGAGCATAAGAAAGGAAATGGCTATCACTTGTTAAAACAGATCATCATTTCAGAGTACTTTGTTTGATGCTTGGATTAGCTAGTAAGTATTAGTATTTTTATAAAGTATCTATTTTATCATAGTTTCTTAAAATGTAGTTGTAAATTTTCAATATTTCTTAAAATCTAGACCCAAAAATGGCAGTTTTTAAAACTGGGGGTAGGAAGTGGGGGTGATAATCACACATCATCATTTGGCTCTTTTCCATAACTTTATCTAGACTAGAATATGAACACTTAAATTTTTCTCTCATCTTTGAGAGATATAGGCTTTTAGAGTTTCAGTGAGAGTTGACATTGCTTAGGAAATCCCGGTGTTAAAATGGGAAAACTAGGGTTAGAGGCTAGTGGCATTAAGAGCATTGTAGCCAGTTGAACAGCTCTATGTGGAATGTTACCTAGTTTGATGAAAAGAGGGAGACATCTACCATGCTCTGTTCTTGGTTCTGTCCTATACAGCATTATTTTATTGGTGATAAGTAATACTCATTTCTGAACGACTCAAAACGAAGATGAAAACAGTAAATCAACAAGTGTTGGTGAGGATGTGGAGAAAAGGAAACCCTGGTGCACTGTTTGTGGGAATGCAGTTTGGTGCAGCTACTATGGAAAGCAGTATAGAGTTTCCTCAAATAATTAAAAATGGAACTGCCTTATGACCCAGTGATTCTGGGAATATATCTGAAGAAATCTGAAACACTAATTGGAAAGAATATATGCACCCTTATGTTCATTGCAGCATTATTTACAATAGCCAAGGTTTGGAAGCAGCTCATCAGGAGATGAGGAGATAAAAAATCAGCGGTACATTTACACAATGGAATACTACCTGGCCGTAAAAAGGGAAATCCTACCTTTTGTAACAGCATGAATGGACCTGGAGAGTATTATACTAAGTGAAATAAGCTAGTCAGAGAAAGACAAATACCATATGATTACACTTATATGTGGAATCCAATGAAAAAAATAAAATAACAAACTAGAAACAGACTCATAGTTACAGAGAACAGACTGACAGCGATCAGAGGGAAGGGTGTTGGGAGGCTGGGTGAAAAAGGTGAAGGGATTAGCAAAGAAAAAAAACAATTCATAGACACAGAAAACAATATGGTGATTACCAGAGCGGGAGGTAGAAGAGGGTAAAGGGGAGATGAATGGTGACAGAAGACTTGGGGTGGTGAACACACAATACAAAATACAGATGAAGTATTATACAGTTGTACACTTGAAACCGATATAATTTTATTAACCAATGTCACCCCAATACATTCAGTAAAAATTTTTTAAAAATTAGGATGAAAGATAATTCCATTAACAATCAAGGTTTAAAAAGACCAAATTAGGCTGAGGCTAAAATAAGTATATTTAATATGGATAAATCCAAGTCTCCAAGTCGGTTCAGAAAATTATTTGAATTCAGGATGGGGATAGTTTGGCCTGATAGCATTTTGTCAGAAAAACTTCTGTAGTTTAATCTACCACAGTCTTAAGAACTATTACGCTTTGTGGCATTAAGGTTCAGCACAAAGAAAGTTAGTGGGACGCATCCAGGCTTGTTGGACATACAATTTTCAGGGCCTCATGTCCCAGAGATTGATTCCCTAGGTCATTAGAGGGTCCCAAGATACTGCATGCTTGATAAGACCCTCAGATAATTTTAATGCAGAAGGTTCAGAGAACACATGTAAGATAATATGGCTTTTCATGTTTCATCTTTTGATGACATGTGCTGTAGGCACTGTTATTTTCTGGTATAGAAATCAAGGTAGGAGATTAAAGACTTCAGAGATTTGGACAAACTTGCATTTTCCCTCTAAGTAGGAAGTTCCATAGAGGGCACCAGTTAAAAAAGAAACAATAATCTCAAAAGTTCACAAGTGTTTAGGAGGAATGTATAATGATTAGATCAGAAAGAGAACTGGTCTATGTAAGTGAATCTCAAGTATTTCAGCAGTTTGTGAATTTTGTCCCTCCACTGATTTTTAGACCGAGTGGAGGAGAAAAACATTGACGTGAGAGAGAGAGACATTGATTGGTTGCCTCCTGCTTGATCCCCTACCAGGTTCTGGGGTTGAACCTGCAACAGAGGTACGTGCCCTTGACCGGGAATCAAACCCTTGACCCTTTGGTGCATAGGCTAGCACTCTAACAACTGAAAAAAACTGGCCAGGGCTGGTTTGTGAATTTCTTAAAAGTTGAGTTTTAGCCCTAGCTGGTTTGGCTCAGTGGATAGAGCGTCAGCCTGCGGACTGAAGGGTCCCAGGTTCGATTCCGGTTGGGAGCACATGCCTGGGTTGTGGGCTTGATCCCCATTAGGGGATGTGCAGGAGGCAGCCTGTCAATGATTCTCTGTCATCATTGATGATTCTATCTCTCTTTCCCTCTCCCTTTGTCTCTAATCATCAGAACATATACATATATACATATATATATATATATATATATATATATATATATATATATATATATATATTTTTTTTTTTTTTTTTAAAGTTGTAGTAGTTTAGGTAAGAGATGGGGCTGGACTTGCCAAACTTTTTAGATAACTGCCAGTGGTTTGCAAATGTCTGTCTTTAACATAGGAAACATGAAAAGACATAAAAGAAAATGATGGAAGCAGGACAGTGTTCAGGAATGAAATGAAAGATTTTAAGTGAAGAAATGAAGTTGTTTTATGTGTGGTTAACATAGGATGATCATACCTCCCAGTTTGCTCAGGACAGTCCTGGTTTATTTCTGTTCTGGTATAATTATTGTTGGTGACGTCTTTCATTTTCAGAAGTGCCCTGGTGAGTTGAAAAATACATGGCCATTCTAGTTGATAAGTGGCATTTTGTAAATAACGGACTTCAAATCTCTACTTTAAGGGGCAACATGGAAGGGGGAATGAGGTTAGATAGAGGGAGTTTGACAATATTTTAGCTGGTATTTTCATGTTCGTCTAATACTTAGATGATTGATTTTTATTATTAAGTGGGGGAATCATTAGTGTATGGGTAAAAAGTTTGTAAATTTTTTTGTTTAGCTAATCATTCTGTTACTAGAAGTAAATACAGTGTTTGAGATCATTAATTTCTCTGGCTAGTAGCTCTCTGTTCACTCTATTTCTGTATTTTCTCAGTGTTGGTTTGTTGGACAGACTACATGGGCAAGATTCTGCTTGTTTTAATAGTTTTATGATAGAGCTATGTTTGTTTGAATATATGTGAAAAGCTACTGCTCCGTTTTAACTTTTATTCCCTAATACATTATAGTTTGTCACAATTTCTTAGTGGTAGAGTAAACATGGATATGTAAATTATTTGAGATTGCTTGGAAACTACTTAGAACTTTTAAATAATCTTCCTTTTTCTAGTAACTTTGTCAACATTTACTGATGCCTATGAAATTATTTAATGTTAACTCATTTTTTAAAACCAAAATTTTGGTTTATATAAATATTAACTTTTATAATTCCTTAGCCTAATATGGGGAAATATAGCTGCTTTCACTGCAAACTAATGTGCTTACTAATTATTTTGATTAGAATTTTTAAAAATTGCATGTTTAGGTGTTAATCTGAAAGATTGAATTTAGTTTTGTTTCTGAACACAGTTGCTTTTTGTTTTTTATTGCTTTGTTGCAATTTTAGAATATAGTTGCTTTCTTCTTTTGATTGGCTTAAAATAAGTTGTTATCTGTGTGGAATTAGTGACTGGCCAACCAGACAAGTGAAATGCTTGAATAAGCCTTGGTTAGTCAATATTCTGAAGAAAATGTATGTTATTTGCCACCTACTGAATTATATGTAATATATGAAATGAAGGTAATGACATAATAAGAATACTTGTTTTTTCCAAGTAGTTGAAAAAAAGGTCTCTTTGGGACTATGTTTCAGTGTCTACCTCCCTTACCCCCCAAATCTATCACTGTTTGCACTATCTAAAGACCTGAGAGAATGTTAACATTCTTATTCCAAACTGAAGAGTATTAGCCTTTAAAACTTGACATATACTTAATTTAATTGTAAAACTTCATGCATTCATTTGCTGCTTTTAAAGACATTTTGTTGTCATAATCTGTAAAATAAATATACATTTAGAATAATTGTTATGATCTCTTGAGGACAAGTAGGAAAACACCCAGATCTCTGAAGCTGTCAGGTACCTTTTGCAGTAGCAGTGTGGGCCTCTTGACCCCTGTGGATGCTGCACTCCATTGTGGCAGTTTCAGAACAGCCACAGTTAACATTTGACAGAAGCTGTTCCAAGGAAAACCATGATCGTCTTTACTATTCATTTTCTAGTTCAGCTCTGTTCTTTTCTTCCTCTGGCAGTAATGGTAACAGCAGTAGCTGGAGCAGTCTTGGTTTAGAAGGAGATTTGTATGAGGACAATTTATCCTTTCCAACATCAGACAGGTTGGTCCAGTCCAGAAACTTAAAAACTGATGAGTCTTTCACCACTAATGCATGATGTCATATTCTTAAAACAGTGTGGGTTACAATGCCAATATGTATCAAGCTGCTTTTCTCCTATTTTTGACATGATTCTGCTTGATAAATTACATCTAATGAAAAAATTCTATGCTAAGATATGATTGACATCTAATTGCAAAATGTATTACTTTTATGCATGTATTGCTCTGCTTGCTATTTTTCATTCTACCAATTATTATTTCATTAAAAAGAGCTTGCTTCCTACAGGATTTCTGTTTTTTTGTTTTTGTTTTGTCCTTTTTTTTTATATAGTTTTACTTCATACATAAGAAAAATGTGTTCTTACTATGTTAAAAATATATAAACGGCATCAGCAGAAGCATTAATAAATAATAATTTGTGGCATTCTATGATATTCAAATGCTGTGTTATCTAAAACCAAATTGGTAGAATATTTTGGCTTCAAATTATTTTAAATTAAATTTTATTATGAAATTACTTGGTGTTCTATATATCATGGTCAGGTAGAACTTCTAGGTTATGACAACTTATCTAGGCATCATTTGCAATTCATATTTTAACATGAAATGATGTGAGAAGCAAAGCTTCCTTTTTTATTGTCATTTCTCCCCTTTTTAAATATCACACATCATATTGTAACATTCATTCTTTACCACATTTCAAGAATTGGTTTTAATACCATTATTAAAGCTTTTTTGTTTAACTGCTTCTGTTCTTTTATTCAAAAAGTGATGGGCCAGATGATAAAGACGAAGAGCATGTGGACGACATAGAAGGTAATTGACAATTTGTTTTTCAAAGTGTTTGCATGTTTTGTTTTATTTTAATACTAGTAGCCCGGTGCACAAAATTTGTGCACTCGAGGGGGGGGGTGTCCCTCAGTTATTAAACATTTTACAGCACAACACTGACCACATTGGCGGTGGTGGTGGTCTTGTCAGAATGTGTTATATTATGCAGATGAAAATCTATTTAAACAGATTTGATGTATATATTTTCAAAGATGGAAGAATTGTCCCTGTCAACTATTTTAGTTGATTCATATCTTCAGTAATTGTCATCATTGCAAAGTTTTCAGTCCCCATATGGATTGCTGGATATAATAGGTCATGTGCTGTCCCTGTCCTTTGTAGCCTTTGTTACCTTAAAGACTCTAGTTTTCCATTTATATGTTTAAGTACCAACCTTACCGGCTTAAAAATGTAAGCTTTTAACACTGCTCTCTCTGTTCCGTATCCTTCCGATAAAAAGTGGAGTTGGGTTGCAGCACAGGAGAGAAATTCAGAAGGGGAATATTGAAGTAATGACTACAGTAGGAGAAGAGGGAACCTGTTTCCCTGGCCACAGGCGTTGGCGCCCTGGACCACAGGGCTGGTAGCTTCTCCGGGTGGCTGCAGCCTGGGACCTCTGGCCAGTAGCTTGTCCATCTCCTGGGCTGCAGCCAGCCCCAGGCACTGGCGCCAGGACCAAAGGTGGGCGGCTTCTTCTTCTGGGGGCTTCTTCTTCTTCTGTGCTTCAAGGGAGGGTAGTCAGTTAAGTGTCATGCAGAAATAGGCATCACCAATTGCAGAAACCGGGTGTGGGGCAGCGAAGCCCCAGCCAGGGAAGCTGGCTGAGGCTGCTTCCCTGCCCACGCACCTGGCTTCTGTGATCGCCCCTGCACTGGGCTTCTGCGGTCACCCATCCCAGAAGCCGGATGCTGGGCTGGGAAGCCGCGGCCGGGAAGCTGGCGGCAGGGGGAAGCCGCGGCCGGGAAGCTGGCGGCAGGGAAGCTGGCGGCAGGGAAGCTGGCAGCGGACACTTCCCTGACCCGCACCCAGCTTCTGTGGTATGGATCGCAGAAGTTGGGTGCGGGGCTGGGAAGCTCCCGGGACTGCCAGCTTCGCCCCTACTTCCCGCTATCACTGGCCAGGGCGGCAAAGGCGCCCGATTGTCCAATCATGGCTCTTAGCTCCCCCCTGGGTTTCTGATCACTGTCAGTGGCAGGGGGCTTCTTCCTGCTTTCCCTTTCGCCTCCCTGCATTGTGTCTACATATGCAAATTAACCGCCATCTTTGTTGGCAGTTAATTTGCATATCGCCCTGATTAGCCAATGAAAAGGGTAGCAGTCGTACGCTAATTACCATGTTTCTCTTTTATTAGTGTAGACTAGAAGCCTGGTGCACGACATTCATGTACTCGGGGGGCGGGGGGTGCCCTCAGCTCGGCCTGCGCCCTTTTGCAGTCCGGGAGCCCTTAGGGGATGTCTGACTGACAGCTTAGGCCTGCTCCCCATGGACATCCTTAGCGCTGCTGCAGAGGCGGGCCCCTGCGCTCGCCAGCCATCAGCCCAGCTTTGGGCTGAGCAGTGCTCCCTGTGTGGGAGTGCAGTGACCACCAGGAGGCAGCTCCTGCGTTGAGCGTCTGCCCCCTGGTGGTCAGTGCGCTTCATAGCGACCAGTCGTTCCACTGTTTGGTCGATTTGTATGTTACCCTTTTATTATATAGGATATTTTTATTGATTTCAGAGAGGGATGATGAGAGAGATTCATTGATCGGCTGCCTCCTGCATGCCCCCCTACTGGGGATTGAGCCCACAACCCAGGCATGCACCCAGATCAGGAATCTAACCATGACCTCTGGTTCATAGGTTGACACTCAACCACTGAGCCACAATGGCAGGGCCATGCTTTTCTAGAAGGTTCTCTAGAAGAGTCTTTAATTTTTGTATTTGTTCATTTTATCAGTTAGGCTCTTGGCCATTACAAATAAGGGTATTTACATTATAAATCAGGGTATTCTTTAATTTATCCAATGTCAGGCCTTTTGTTGAGTAGTTTGTATTATTTGATTGCTAAACTAATGAAGTACCCATTGATATAAAGACTGAGTTGCTTTAAAAGAATGATTCAGTTACTTGTGAGGGAAATTCATGATCAACTCTATATAATTATCTTTTTCAAAATAAATTCCTTACTCATATTATTTATTATAACTATAGTGTATGTCATAGTTTTTTCCTTTCAAACAAGTAACTTCTAGAATTAGTGTTTAATGACAATCTCACATAAATCATATTCCCTCTTCACATGTCTTCCCAAATTCCAGTACTACACTCACATACATGTATTTGAAGAAAATACTCAATTCTCCCTTTAATGAACATAATTCTGAATATGTTAATAACAGATACAATTGGTTACGGAGTTCTGGGCTGTGATTTGTAATCCCTAATTTAAATATCTTAGACTGTCTGAATGAATCTAAAAATGGTTCACATTGAAGCTGAATTTTTTAAAAATATATATATATTTATTGATTTTAGAGAAGAAGGGAGAGGGGAGAGAGTGATAGAAACATCAGTGATGAGAGAGTCATTGATCGGCTGTCTCCTGCATGTCTCCAACTGGGGATTGAGCCCACTATCTGGCATGTGCCCTTGACTGGAATCGAACCTGGGACCCTTCAGTCCGTAGGCTGATACTCTTTCCACTGAGCCAAACCAGCTTAGGGTGAAGCTGAATTTTTATTGTATTTAGATGGTTGTTGACTCCCCCCAACCCCCATCTTATTTTTCCTTAATTATGAAAATATCAATATGTCTTCTCTAGGATGGAACATAAAAAGATTCATACTGTTTGAGATATAGTGCTTGGTTTTGAACCAGTGATTTTTTATGTTATCACTAGTAGCCTGGTGCACGAAATTCGTGCACATTAAAAGGGAATTAATTGCCCTAACCAGTTTGGCTCGGTTGATAGAGCATCGGTCTGTGGACTCAAGGGTCCCAGGTTCGATTCCGGTCAAGGGCATGTACCTTGGTTGCGGGCACATCCCCAGTTGGGAGTGTGCAGGAGGCAGCTGATTGATGTTTCTCTCTCATCAATGTTTCTAACTCCCCATCCCTCTCCCTTCCTCTCTGTAAAAAAATCAATAAAATATATTTTTTTAAAAGGAATTAATTAGCGGAGATATTTTAATATTGCTATTTGCCCTTTCTCTATAATAGAAGTGTGAGAGATGAAAGGAAATTAGTAAAATATATATGAAAATAATATATAAATTTATTAATAAATAAACAGTAACAAAAGGATATAACAACAGAGGCATGATATAAAAACGACAAAAACATGATATGAAAAACAACAAAAACATGATATGAAAACAACAGAAACATGATATAAAAACAACAGTGATGCAAGCAATGACTGATAAAGTGATTAAACTTATTCTAATATCTCCCTGTACACCACATTAAGAGTGAAAACACTTTCAGAGTGCTTGACTAATTTCCCTTGTGATGAAGTATTTAGAACTTTAACTGTAATGTCACATGCTCTTCAAACTCAAGAGAAAGCAACATATAACTGACCATGTGTGAAAATGGGTTCAGGTAGGAATATGCCTACTCTGTCTAGAGTTTGTCCTTGTGATTTATTAATAGTCATCACAAAGGCTGGCATCACGGGAAACCGTCGTCAAATCAATTTAAATGGGAGGCCAGTCTCAGATGGGGACAAATTAATTCTTAGAATCAGAACAACCTCTCCCTCTGCAGATCCTGTTAATACTTCAGCTTCGATAATGTTAGGTCGAAATCTTTTGATAATAAATCTGGTACCATTACAAAGACCCCTTTTAATATTGAGATTTCTCAATAGCATGATGTTGGGGTCCAGCCCGGCGGGTCCAGGGGTTCCCCAAGGTGTGGACGGAGTCGGCGAAGAAGGAAGGACACGGAGGCAGTGTTCAGTTATCAGCAGCCTAGCCAGGTTCTCTAGTCAGGTTCTCCAGCCAGGTTCTGTCTTTATTCTCCTGTTACATCTGTATTTATACCAGTTGATTTTAATCTTATCCATTCTATTCCGAAGGTTAGGGCATTTGTTATCTCCATTCCAAGGTCACTACTCTATTGTTCTGTTAAGCTACAAGGAAGTAACTGAAGGAGATTATTCTAAGTAAAGATTATGTAGCTTAAGCGTGATTATTCATAGTTAAAGTGATTAACTACCTGCATGGTACTTAGTTAAGGGGTTTTACTGATTTATTCCCTTCCTTAGTCCTGTTAATCCCTAACTCCAGGGAAAAATCCCACCTGGGGAAACAACCTTTCTTGGAGAGGTGACCTTGGTTAAAACACATAGCGCTAAGTAGGGGAGCAAACATATTAAGAACAGTATGCCATATATGCCAGGTCCCTTGAAACATATGCTGTGCAGATGTTTCTTCCCTGCAGCGACCGTGTCAAGTAGTAAGGGTGGACCGGCTTCCGGCAAATTCCCCCATTTTTATTTTTTAAATGACAGCGCGTGTAAATCAGCGGCCACCTCTTGGATTGGGTTGTTTAAGACTCGGAAGACCTGTTAGTGACTTTGCCAACAGGTCAGTCCGAGGCTTAATCCTATATCGGCTCCCCACAGCATGATGAGTGCACCCACTTTCAATTTTAATTTATGACAGGGCATTCCCGAAGGAGTAATACTATTAAGAAATTCTATGGGAAAATTTTCCTTTTCAGCATCATTTGTGGAATCAATGGAATCATCACTCAAATATGTGTGAAAATCTCCATCGAGTATATCCAAATTTTCTTCATTTAATTTTTGAATATTCTCATTTTTTGGACAAAGAATTGCACATTTAGATATATTTTTAATATTATCTATAGCAGTGGTTCTCAACCTTGGCTGCACATTAGAATCACCTGAGAATCTTTTTAAAATCCTGATTCCTGGGCTTCATCCTCCGGAAATTGTTTCTTTATTATGGGGTAGGGCCACAACATTAGTAACAAAGAAACAGAATTTCCGGAGGATGAGGCCCAGAAATCAGGATTTTAAAAAGATTCCCAGGTGATTCTAATGTGCAGCCAAGGTTGAGAACCACTGATCTATAGATATAGTATTTCCAAAGGTAGCTTCAATAATAGATCCATTACAAATCATTTCACTTCCAAGCTCCGCTCTGAGGGCAGGTTCCTGCCTGAAACCTCGCTCTCCAGGAAACAGCTGGGGGAGGGCGAAGCTGTTTCCAAGACGACCCCTGCAGGACTGACTTCCTTCAGGTTGGTTGCGGTTCTGGCTGTGATGTTACACCCAGGGTTTTTATATAAGTAGGTTTTTTTAGAAGTGGGTAAACTGAGAAAATTGCCAAAATGAATTTTTTGAAATGTATTTTATAACACCTAAATTTCCAGTCAGTTTTATTACCAATTGACCAATTGTACTTTTCTTGTTTAGGAAAGTCATGTACCAATTTTTTAGCTAAAATCCTCAGACCTAGGATGATTATTCTATTTGAATGCTAGTGCCTCTGCTAAGTAGATAGTCTCTTCATACAGGGCTTCTAGAAGTAAGTTTTTCTCATCAGATATAAAGTAGAAGTAGTGTGGTACTTGCTGAGTTATGGCTAGCATAATAATATTTGCTTTATTTTTGTTAAAGTGTTGATTTTTTAATATAGAAAAGTTTTATACTTTTCCCAAGTAATATCTATGAGTAGGTTATTCCAAAGGCTATATACATGGTATAAATGCATATAGTGAATATTTTCCGTAATGAATGCTAACTTGACTGAGGAATGATTAAGATGGAAGAAAATATAAGTTAATATCTATAAAATTCATTTAGAAATTTTCACTTTTGGCATTAGGCAGGCTGTTAGGATTTCTTTTGTGAGTAAGTAGAAATCAGGAGATTAATTATTTGAAAATATATGTTATTACCTAGCTTTTGAAATTATAGTCATCTCTTATTATATAGAAAATTGTAGCCAACTTTTAAAATTTTTAAATTAGAAACTGGTAAATTAGGAGATAGATTGATGTAGATTTATAGACAGATTCAAAATTATGGAAATTCTAAGGAAAAAACCCTCAAAATTTTTGTTGTTGGTTGTTTGTAGTTTTAGGATGTCAGTCCCTTCTCTTTTCACTAGTGTTTAGTACCTTCTCTAAAGACAAAGGTCATTCATAGGTGAGGCAGCCAGGAGTCCTGAACTGAAAAAGCCAATAGTACAGAGAAGCCTTGGGGTGACAGCTTCCGACCCCATGACCCCTGCAGGAATCACAACATGGCCCAGAGACCATATTTAGTACGATAGTGCACCAAAACCCCTTTTTGATTGAAAGTCAATGGTGAGAGAGGAGGGCAAAACTACATTTATTTTAAGAGAATAATGTGGACTAGCTTTATTATTATTATTTTTAAGTTAATCCTTAAGGTAAGTTTTCCATTGATGTTTAGAGAGAGTTGAAGGGAGGGTAAGAGAAGAGAGAGAGAAACATTGATGTGAAAGAGACATACTGATTGGTTGTCTCCTGCACATGCCCCTACTGGGGCCAGGATCGAGTCTGCAACTGAGGTACATGATCTTAACCTGAATCGAACCCACAACCCTTCAGTTCACAAGCCAATACTCTAAGCCAGTGATGGCGAACCTTTTGAGCTCGGCATGTCAGCATTTTGAAAAACCCTAAATTAACTCTGGTGCCGTGTCACATATAGAAATTTTTTGATATTTGCAACCATAGTAAAACAAAGACTTATATTTTTGATATTTATTTTATATATTTAAATGCCATTTAACAAAGAAAAATCAACCAAAAAAGTGAGTTCGCGTGTCACCTCTGACACACATGTCATAGGTTCGCCATCACTGCTCTAAGCACTGAGAAACTGGCGAGGGCCAGACCAGCTTTTTAAGTGAAAAAATTAGGGACCTACACATATCCTAAAAATAATTAGCAGTGGTCTAGAATGCAAACTATAAAAATGAATCAGGGACATTAACCAACAAATTTCCATTACTGGTACTATTTGGTACCATGTCTGCCAGCAGGCCCTACTGTTCACCTTTTGTGTGGGATGGCCCATGTCTTAGCACTGCTTATTGTCCAGCCATCCTAATTTAAGCAGGAGTGTTAAGTCATTACTTTTACAGTCAACAGATTCATCCTACTTTATGTTGAAAACATGATTATATTTTCTTTTTTAATCACCTGAGAATGTTTTTTTTACATTGATTTTATCTTACTTTTTAAATCCTCATCCGAAGATATGATTTTCATTGATTCTAGAGAGAGTGGAAAGAAGGGGGCGGGAAGAGAGAGAGAGAAAGAGAGAGAGAGAGAGATGAGAAAGAAACATCAATCAGTTGCCTCATATGTACCCTGACCAGGGATTGAACCTGCAACCTAGATATGTGCCTTGACTGGGAATCAAACCCATAACCTTATTGGTGCACAGGAAGATGCTCCAACCAACTGAACGATGTGGCTAGGGTGAAAACATAACTTTCATTTAAAAATAAATAAATAAACGTGAGAGCAATATCTCATTTATGATAGTGGTGTGCCAGAAAATTCCCTTGTCTTGCTTTTGGGATTAAAGTGGTTGCATATAACATTTTTCCATTAAGAGCATGGAGCCAGATTGCCTGTGTTCATATCCTTCCTCAGCCACCTCCTCACTCTGAGACTCTGGATCTCTCGCTGCCTCTGATACCTTACCTGTAAAATGGAGATGATGATAGTTTCTACATCATAGGTGGTTTTGGATTATAGGACTTTGCATATCTAAACAGCTTAGAATAATACTTTAATGTATGCTATACAAGTAGTTGCTGCTGCTATTTCTCTTAGTTCAAAAAGCTTTCTTAAAGTCCATTTAATGTGTTTATTTGAGGTTTTTATTTGTGTGTTTCATTTGTATTTTGATTGTAATCTTGCTTTATAGTTTCATTTTTTCTCCTTTTACCTGTGGATCATATTTTGACACAAATGATGGCATGTGTAGTACTTCAGTACTGTGCTATCAGTAGGTGATCAAAGTTATCCCTTTGTTTTACATTATTTCGCCCTTTCAAAGAAACATTTCAATTGATGTTTTGGTGTGGTTAAAAAAGGATGAATTTTTCCAAGCATTCATTGGAATCTTAAGACGTGGCAAATATTTACATATCCTTGGAAACCAGAGTATTGAGAGTTGAATTGATGCATTTCACTTCATATTGTTTAAATTTAAATATTAGGTTTGGGGCAAGATGAAAAGACGCTGCTAATAACGAATATTGACATGGAGCCATGCACAGTAGACCCTCAACTAAGGATTATTCTTCAGTGGCTCGTGGCCTCTGAGGCTGAAGTTGCAGAACTTTCTTTTCATGACTCTGCAAAGAAAGAGTTTATACAAGTAAGTATCTGCCTTATAGGGTGGTTGTGAAGATATATTTAGTACATGACATTCTGTGTCAACTGGTTGATCTAATAAGATAACTCATCGATAGTAGAGTGATTAAATGTGTAGGCAATAGAGTCACATAGTTGGGCTCATATGTCAGCCCTGTTACTCTCTAGCGGTGTAACCTTGGGCAAGTTCACCAATTTCCAATCTGCACTATGGAAGTGAGTATAGAATTTACAGAGGTTTGTGAGGATTCAATATAATACTGTAAAAAATGCTTAATCTAGTGCCTGGTACATCCTAAGTTCTCAAAGTTAGGTGCCATTAATAAACATTTCAGGTGTTTCTATGAAAAGATTGAGTTTTTCTTTGTATTAAATTGATTTATAATTGTGCCTAGTACTTCGTTTGTCTCTTTCTCTGTTAATTCAGTTTCATTAGTGTGAGGAGCTAGCAAAATCAAAAATCAGTAGAAGTTTAAGTTCTAATAAGGGACAATGGACCTGTTTAATAAGGTTCTAATAAAACATTCAGATTTGATGCACTAATAGGATATTTTTATTGAGAACGTACTGTATACCAAGCACCTTGTTAGTCAAGATTTTCAGTTTACTGCACAAACCAGCATTTGGGAATCATTACCACAGTTCTTTTATCTCAAATATCCAAAAAATAATGAGCATATTTGCTAAAGAAATATAATGGTCTGTTATTGCAATAAAAAACTGTATTTTCATTAAACATTTTTTTTTTTCAGTTTAGATTCTTAACATTTTTGGCTCAGAATGTTTCTTATCAGAACTTTGGTTTAATTTAATTGTAAGGTATAGAATAGTCTAATGAATAACCAATGTAAATTGCTCAATAATAACAAAAAAGGAACTGCCCAGTTTCTCGTGATTCCTGGTTCAGAATTTACAAAAGTATTGTTGGAAGAAGTGTGTGAAAAAGATATTATGAAAAAATAGTGGGTTTTTGTTGTTGTTTGTTTTTACTTAGATATTTTGGTGGGGTTTTTTTGTTGGTTGTTTTTTTTTTTTCAGTTTAGGTCTCTGTTTTTGGGCAAAGGGAGAAATAAGACAGAAAGTGATGCTCAGGAAATAAACTGTCAAGAAGAAAGAATGGGTAGGAAAAGTGTTAGAAATGACCTCAGGGAGCAAACATTTTCAAGTCATTTAGTCTTAGATAAACTGAGGGCTAAGAAAGGCCAGCAGCAGAGCTGAGTGTGATAGCGCTTGAGTTAGGGGACCTTGTCCCTATATTCTGCCTTGTCAGAAAATATTCTGCCAGTTCCTCAAAAAGTTAAACATAGCAAAAAAAAAAAAAAAAGTTAAACATAACATTATTATATAAGGCAGCAATTCCACTCCTAAGTATATGAATGTTGTCCATTGCAACATTATTCATAATAGATTAACAGTGGAAACATCTTTAGTGTCTATTAACTAATGAATGGATAAATAAAATATGGCATATTTATGCAATGGAACATAATCCATCAATAAAAAGGAATGAAGTAGGTACATGCTATACCATGGAGGAACCTTGAAATTATTGTGCTAAGTGAAAGAAGCTGGTCATAATAGATCATGTGATATAAATAATAATTTCATATAAATGACCTCATTTATATGAAATGGCCAAAATAGACAAATAGAGACACAAAGTAGATTAGTGATTCTCTAGAGTTGAGGGGATTGGAAGAAATTGGAAGTGATTACTAATGTGTAGGGCTTTCCTTGTGGTGTGATAAAATGTTCTGATATTGGTTGTGGTGATGGTTGCATTCAACTCAGTGAATAATACTAAAAACCATCAACAGGTACACTTTTAAAAGAGTGAATTGTATGTGAATTATTTTTATTGAGGTATATTCAAAAGCTATTTTTTAAAAGGCTAAGCATATTTACATTACAGAAATTAAAGTAGTTTTTACAGAACTAAATAGAAAAAAAATGAGTGAAGATGTTCTGATTGGTGACGATAGAGATTTATTTAAACCTGTATTTATTAACTTTTTAAAAATCCTCACTAGAAGATATGTTTATTGATTTTAATCAAGAGAGCAAGGGGAAGAGAGAGAATGAAAGAGAGGGAGAAACATCATTGGGTGCCTCCATATGCATCCTGACCGGGAATTGAACCCTAAACCTTTTGGTGTGCATAATGACACTCTAATCAACAGAGCCAACAGGCCAGAACTATTTACTTTTTTTTTATTGAGGTATAATTGATATATATTATATTAGTTTCAGGTATACGTCGTCATATATACTGTATTGTGAAATGATGACCACAGTATTTTACTTTTTGTGTTGTTGTTTTTTTAAAACATTAACATTTCTTAACTTAGAAAACCATGTTTCCTTTGAGGCTAGAGTGTGTATTCCAAAAACATACACCACACTATATGTTGTGGAAGGAAAATCCACATCCTTTTATTAAGCTTGACATTGCCTTTACTATTTTATGTTTCTACTTGAGAGTGTGGCAGATGTATTTAGTTAGGTTAAGAATTTCCTGTAGAAATGTAGCTCTATACTCCCACACAGGATATTTGCTTGGTGTGGTTATTGGAGTTCTGTCTCCAGCAATACCAAAGTGTCATTCTGTGGAGGAGATGTGTTTATAAAGGGCAGGAAAGGAAAATGTTTAATTTGTGTAAAGTGGTGGTTAGGGAGAAAACTTTGTTATAACTGGGAAACAGTATTTTATTACAAACAAGATTCTTAGATTTCGCTGATGTAAATAAAAATGAAAACTTTATTGTTATAAAATTATTTTTGGTTAATGTTTGACATATCTTTCTGTCTTATTAGCTTTCAAAACAATTACAAGAAAAAGGATGGAAAGTGGGAGACCTCCTGCAGGCTGTGCTTAACTACTATGAGGTGGTGGAAAAGACTTCCAGTGAGGAGAAATGCAAGTCACTGTATGATTGGCTCTTGGAAAACGCATAGAACAAATTCCAAACCAGTATATGTTTGTTATTTGTTTTAGGAGAGGAAGAAACAGATAAAGACGCATAGGAAAAAATTTGAATAGTGAATATTAACATTTAAAGTAAATTGGGGGAAAGTAAATACAGCTTTTTAAGCTCCTGTGTCATCACATACTGTATATAGTTCATACTTTTGTAATCTCTGTCAAATATTATCTTCATTCTTCTATACACATGTGTAATATGTTAAAACCCTAAGAACGTATTTGAAGGAAGGTCTAACCATGAGGTTTTCAGGGACATTGATGTCATTCTTTTTACATCCAAATTGTGCTGCTAAAAACTGCACTGAGGTAGCTAAGGATAGGTGCCAGGGATAAAGAGTTAGAATTTGCTCCTTTGTAAACAAGTGGTATCCTATTAATTACTAATTTGACATAAAAAAATAGCATTGGAGCTGATTTTTTTCTGGTAGTTTTGGACTCATTTTTAAAAGTCAATTTTATTTTCAAAGCTCAGCTATTGGTAGGTTTTTGAATCCCTCAAACTATTTAATTCCTTAGGAACATTAATATTTTAGGTTTCTGTTAATACTGTAAATGATACTTTTCTCAGCCTTTCATCAAAGTACATTATTTCCAATCGTTCTGGCAGGAAAGTGAGTGTGTGTGTGTGTGTGTGTGTGTGTGTGAGTGTGTTTGTGTGAGTGTGTGTAAAGGAGTACTTTAACCTTGCTAGTGGTTTGTGCCCTCTTTTATTTTAATATTTTCTTGGTTAGAAATTCACTATTGATATTAAAAAGGTGCTTTAAAATGTCTGTAAAGATTGTGCAGCAAAAAATTTTATTTCTTTTTTTGACTATTTGGGGTCCCCAACTTATTCTATAAATTAAAATAAAGTTGAAAAACATGTTGAAATTTTAAAAATTAATGTTAATAGGGAAATGCATTTTTGAAAACCTCTCCTCTTGAGCAAAGATAAGTTTTTTCTAGGGGAAAATAAGGATCCTCCTGTGATAAAATCTATCTGCACTATTTTGTAAAGACCTCTGACATGATCCTTTTGGGCTCTACATTTCCTACTGCTTTAGCTTTAGAAACTGCAAGTTGATTTGACTAGAGGACCAAGATTGTGTCTTGGTTTTGTATTGGAGAGTGTGCATGTGTGAATTTTTTGGTTCTTCCACGATTGGATTTTGCAGTCTAGAGTAAATCACTTTTTTCTGGGGGCTTTGGTTTTGCTTTAATTCATTTTATTTTTTTCCCCTGAGCACTGACTTTTTTTGGAAGCTGCACATAGTGTAGAAGCCATAGCACCTGCAATGGGACAAGGAATAGGGGTACTTACGTTAATTTGAATTAATAATTATGGTAGAGAAATGTATTTTATAATGAAAGTCAAATTTGCTTTTTAAGAAAATGCCAAGAGCTATTTAAATATTTTGAGGTTATATTGCAAGCTTTGGTTTTTCTCAATTTAAGATAAAGAGCAGGCCTTGAAAATAAATTTCCTCAAGTTCTTTAAGTATTTTTTAAGGTGGAGAAATGCAGGAAATGTATATAGCCAGAATTGTTTCTGCCTTTAGCTTCTTCAAACTTGAGATACAGCAGCACTGGACTGGGTTTTTTAAATGTTAGGAGCTTTGTTGTTAATTATAACACTTGTTAACTGATTATTAAGTTTGGATTGAATTTTTACAAATGTGTAACTGTCATTGTGTTTAGAAACTTCAGTGTATGTATGGGTTTGATTAACAGCAAACTGAGTTCTCTGCTTCCTCTCTCTCTAAAATATCAATGAAAACATATCCTCAGGTGAGGATTTTAAAAAAGAAGATAGATAATAAAAAATAATTTGAGGTAAGATTTTCCTCAGCTCCTTTTCTCCTTTGCAGTTTCATGGAGCTGTGCTGTTTTCCGAGTTCTCTTAGTTAGCTTCCACTTATGTCAGCCCAGTCATTAGGTATTGGCATGCCTAGTAATAATCATAGAGAAGTCCACACTTGTATCAGTTCAGTGCAGGGACATAGAGAAAATGTGAAGTATTGGCAGATGTGAAAAGAAGCCTCCTTACTTAGAAAACATTTGTGTTTAGAGCAGTATTTTTATCAAGTACAGTCTAAATTTACTTTCTTTGAAGGCACTTTGTGATTTTTCCAAAGACATTCTAGATCCCTTTGGTTGCTCAGTCTTCAGAACAGCTGTTTTTTGAAGACAGCTCTGTCTTATTTTAATACAAATCTACTTGACATATTTATATTATAATGTTGTATTAATGCCATTCTGTAGATTTTCGCTCTTACGAAATATCTTATTCAGAACTGTTAAAATTGTGATGTGCATTGAGTTGAATTTTCTTTATCACATTTAGAGCCATTGAAGGATCTGTAGAAAGTGAATGAGGCCTCTGATAAGGGGTTTTTAGAACATTATTTTAGACTGAAATGTGGCAAGTCTTTCATAGTCTTCTTTTCTCAAGATAAGTTTAAATTTTTAGGTATTATTAATGTTGATTTTGAAAATATGTACAGATTTATACAAAAGAAATGATTCATTATAAATCACAGAAGAAAATTACAATGTCTATTGGATGCTTTGATACAATTTAATGGAATAAAACCTTTGAAAGTATTCACTCAGTGAATATATGTGATGACTGACATCTTTATACTTTGAAAAATGTTTCACTTACCCTTTCAGATATTTGATATGAATTAATTAAATTCATAATACTTTCATTATGCTTAAATAAGTGGTTTATGTTATTGATAAGAGAGTTTAATTACTTACTAAACGCACCCTTTATGAAATGAAAGGTGGTTTACCCAGTGACTTTGGCATTAGTGCACATTCCCCAGAGGCAAACTTGAGTCATCATCAGAGTCCAGACCCAGATGTTTTCTTAGTTAATTATTTAGCTAATATTATTCTTCCACAATTAATGTTATCAATTTCCCATCAGTATATTGCTTAAATTTTATATTTTTCAATGGAAACTTTCCAACAAATTTTTAAAAAATGACACATCCATACTCAAACTGTAGGGAAAATACTTTCATTTAAAACCCTATCCACCTGTCACCAGCACAGAAGAGTTAGAGCTTCAGTGGGAATTATAAAATTGTACTAAAGTGAAATACATTTTTTCTCATTTGTAGCAAAAGACCCTGTATGCAGTTACTCTCTATTTCTGCTCTGAAGAAGCAGATACAGTGTTAGTCACTCTTGTCACTTTATTTATTTATTTTTTTTACCATCCATGTACATTCCTTTCACAAGGGTAGAATTGTAGTTGTAGAAGTTCATTGTTTTATTTTTGTTGTAATGTTTGAATACTATTTAATATCAGGTTTAATATTGCTGGATTTGCTATCTTCTGTTACTTGTGCAGTGTTAAAAGTAATTCACATTCTTATTTAATATATCAGATATATAGCAAAAGCAGCTTTAAATAATTGTAGTTGTTTATTTGACTGTGCTGAATTACTATATTAAGACCTTGTATTGTATAACAGTAACTTCTTTTTGCTTTTCAGTAATTTAATATGTTCATTTACTGAAATACGAACTTTAGGATGCACTAAAATTTTGTTTCAGCAGTGGTTCAAAATAAACATTTCAAAAATTACTTCTGTAATAATTCTCAGTTGTTCTTTTATCTTTCACCAGTTGTTTAAGTCTGTGATTTTTCCCCTTCCACCTAAGAATTCTCCAATAAACTTACGAAATGCCTGGCCTCGGTTTCATTGTATAATATCTTATTAACTACTCTGTACTGAACTAAAACAAGGGCATACAAGTGGAACTGCTGTAATAGAAGACACATCAAACAATCTCAGTGCTTCTAACATGGTTTTCCAGGACAAGAGAAGTTAGGAATGAATATATATATTTAAGTCCTCACCTGAGGACATGTTTATTGATGAGAGAGAGACAGAGAGAGAGAGGGAGAGAGAAAGAGAAGAGAGAGAGAGAGAGAGAGAAACATCGATGTGAGAGAACCGGGGATCGAATCCGCAACCTTTTGGTGTACGGAACATGCCCTAAACAACTGAGCCACCTGGCTAGAGCAAGAATATTTTTAATTGGACACTGGATTCTAACTACTTATTTAGGTGCTTCTGGATTCTGACACCGTGACTTGAAAGGTTATTTGTCTAATCAGATTTGGATTTTAGTACAAAGTAGATCAAGCATGTCAAACTCCCAGGCCGCATGCGGCCCACCGATATAACGGTATGTAAGAAACGCTTTAATAAAAATTTCGTAACTTAATTTTTACAATATCCTGTTATACGTAATTATTAATAACGAACTACAACATCCGCTAATGACTGATTACTATAATCGTGTTGCATTCATTTCCCTTATGTGCCTTACACGCAGGCACACCATTTCTCTCCACTAATACTAGCAGTGAATATTTTAGCAGCTGATTGCCACATCATTAGTCTTGGACTGACTTGTTTGGTGTGCGCAACAGGAAATATTTTGCTTTTGGAGAACAAGAAAAATAGGTTTATTTGTGTTATGCTTATTACTTTGTGCAGTTATTCAGTGTCTGGTAAGTTAATGTTTAAGAAAAAATAATTTTTATTAAAATATTCAATTATTTTATGTTAACAATTACTCATTTATTTCAGCCCTTTGTATTCAACATGTCTTTTTCGAAATAAACCTATGTTTCTATGAAAATTGAAGCTTTTGTTTTTTTACGGCCCACATAAACTTAAATCTTGTTTATCTGGCCTGTGTTAGCCTTTGAGTTTGACATGCTTGAACTAGAATATTTTGGTTGACTTCTCTATGAGTGTGTTATGAAATAATTCTGGTGTGGGTTGAACACTCCTTCCATAGAACATAGGGATCATACCTCTATTACGCCATGAAGCATAAAGCACTTAAAAGTTAGATGCTGTTAATTTATTACAAATGGAATTTGACTTCCTTAAGTATTTTAAGCCTTAGAAATGAGGGAATGATTTTTCTAGTTTTTCAGGAATGTTTCAAAATGCCAAGAAATTATAACAAACAATGGCTTGGGTGTGAGTGCATCCCAGTCAATATAACAATTTAAAAATTCTGAGAAAAGGTTAGCAAGATTACTTTGACTGCAATTCCAAAATTTGAACAATTTTGCACATTGGGATTATTTGTGATCTGTGTCCTAG